AAGTTCACCACGTGGTCCCCTAATCATACCACCAACACCTGCCGAACCCGGATTACCTTTGGAGGCACCATCTGTGTTCAACTTAACCTAACCATACGGAGGCTCATCCCATCGAATCAACACCTTTTCCCTTTTTCTTTTGGGCATGTTTAGTTTTTCAACTCTCTCATATGCTCTACGAATGTCTCCAACCTGAGCTAGAATTTGATCTAAAGGAATTTTAGCATCTCGAGTAAAACTCCTCGCATTCCTCCATCGCCACAACCACCAGCAAGTCACTGCGAAAATCAGAGACCATTGCTCAAAATCGAACCCTAATATTTATTTCTTAAATGGGCTTCCTAATATTACATGGGCTCCCCAATGTTTATTTATTCCTACCTTTTCACCAAAAAAAACAAAACTATCAAAATATTACTCTATCTGTCCCTATTTGACTGTCACTTTTAGGCAATTTTTACGAGAATTAATAAACATGAATAAGAAGTAGCAGAAGTACATTGAAAAAGTAAATTTACATTGGGTATACAAAAAAGTAGAGAGAGAAAGTAATTAAAGTACATGGGAAAGCAAAATTTACATGGAAAAGTTAAATTTGCATAGATTTTTGGAAAAATTGCCCGTAATAATCCGACCTTTTGCCCTCCGCTGAAAATAATCCCACCTTTGGATTATTTTTTAATAATCCCACCTTTACCCCCCAATCTTTTTTAATGGTCCCAACCGGTCAGTTAACTCGTTATAGCAAGTTACTTAACACATGTTGGCACCCAATTAGTCCAAAAAAAGAATTAAAAAAAATTAATTAAAATAACAATTAGTTAGTTTTAGAAACCACCCACCAGCTAAATCACCTCACCACTTCTCCTGCCACCAATCTCAGCGTGCCGACCGCCCCTGCCACCCATCCCCTGAACCACCGTCAAACCGCCTCCCTCACGAAAACCACCCTCAAACCCCTCCCTCACAAAACCACCCTCAAACCCCTCCCTCCCTCACAGAACCCATCCCCTGAACCACCGTCGTCCCCGCCACGCGGCTCCGGCCCGTCATCCCCCTACCCCACCGTCGATCCGGCGCGCGACTGACCCTACGTACTCCCCCTCCCCCATCCCTGAACCACCAACCTCTCCCTCCCCCACGAAAACGGAAACACCGGCAGCCCTTAACCCTCGAAAATCCCTTTCCCGGCTCGATCCCAGCCCCCTCCCCGTCCACCGTCCCTTTTCCAATCACTCCGACCTCCCCAACCCCAACCCCAAGCCCGATCTCAGATTTTTCGATTTGCCGTGGGTTTTGGTGGGTTTTCGATTTTTCGAAAGGGGTTTTGAGGTGGGTTGGCTGGGGTGGGATGGGATTCCGGTAAGCGCGTCAGTGGAGGTGGTTTCGAGTTGGTGCGTCAGTGGCGGTGGTTTCGGGTCGGCGCCGGGTCGGTGGTTCTAGGCTCTTGGTTTTGGGTAGTGGTAGGGATGGTGGTGCTGAAAGGTGACGGTTTTTTTTTTTTAATTTTACTTTTTTTAAAATTGTTTTTGTTAATTTTGGACAAATCAAGTAGTGACACGTGTAAATTAAACTTAATTAAAAAAAATTACCTCTTTAACCGGTTGCTGGTCACCCAGAACCATTTTAAGCAGATTGGATATAAAGCTCGGATTATTCAAAAATAATCCAAAGGTGGGATTATTTTCAGCGGACGGGCAAAAGGTCGGATTATTGCGGGCAATTTTTCCTAAATTTTTTGCAAATTGGAGAGAATTTTGGTAAAAAATTAATATTGATGGTACTTGAAAAAAACAAATATGACGAACATTTTGGGACACCAAAAATGGGATAAGTGACTGTCAAATAGGGACGAAGGGAGTACATGATACTGGGATTATACATGAGAGTGATAAGACAAGCAAAATTTACATGCTACGGAGTACTTTGGAAACAAAACTATGAAAAAACCTGATATACCGCGAGAAAGCAAAGATGATGATACTGAGATATTGGGTATTTTTTGCTCTGAACTAGTCAACATTGTTTCCTTTTGGGAACCAATGATAATAGTTTTTCAAAGGCCAAAAATTTCCACAATCCAAATTAGCTAGTAATGACATCTTCTGAATCATCAAAAGAGATAAACGTTTCGAATGGGGCAAAGAATTTTCTAGCAAAGAATCCTTGTTGTCGATGAATAGTGTCTAATGAGATAGGCAAAGTTGTATGATGCGCATAGGGATGGCAATGGGTCCTAGACTCGACCCAGACCCAGCTGGACCCGACCCATATGTTAGGGTTTGGGTCCTTAAATTTTAGACCCGATGGATTTGGGTCGGGTCTGGGTCTAAGTTAAATGGGCCGGGTCTGGGTCTACACTTTTTGGACCCAGACCCGACCCGTTTTAATTTTTATTTTTTTAAAAAATAAATAAATGTATATTAGACATACTATTATTGAAATAAACCACTTAACTAGATATATTAGATTAGTAATATACTACGTAATTAGAGGTTAAGAAGATAAATTTTAGAGAAAGTACGTCACCAACACAACAAGCACCCAAGAATTTTAGTTTTTAAGTTTTTTTTCATGCATTGTCTATTTGTCTTTACTTTTTAATGAACAAATCATTTGTGTATAAAAACTATGAACAAATTTTTAATATGCATCTTTTATTATATCAAGTAGTAGTATAGTTATAAATTTATAATATATATAAAAGATTATGAAAAATTATAGTTGGATCCGTTTTAGATCCGAGACCCGATGGATCTGGGTCTGGGTCTCATTTTTTTAGACCCGGTGGGTCTGGGTCGGATCTGGATCCACCTCAAAAATTCCGGGTCTGGGTCGGGGTCTCAGTGGACCCGACCCATTGCCGTCCCTAGATGCGCATAGATTGGAATTCATGTTTTCAATCATTTACGTACCAAATATTTCTAACAATGAAGGTTTAAGCAGTTTATCTGATTTTCAATGAACTGAATGATAAGCAAGGAATTCGTGAAATTTCGATGAAGAAAGCTTGGATTCGTTTGACATTGTTGTAGTTCTCTATTTTTTGATTTTTTGTTTTCATAATCATATAATATAATATATGTCATATAATTAATCAAACAAATTAAAATCATGTTGATTATGAAAACTAATAAGAGAAAAGTAAAAACACCTCTTTCTTGTTTCCTGTTTTTGTTTTTTGTTTTCTAAAAAATAGAAAACTGTAAACCATAAAAAAAAGATGCCAAATAAACGATAAGGCCTTATTTAGTTCACTTTATTTTATTTTATTTTCTTATTTGATCAGGTCTGGCTGCTCAGATCTGTTCTGGTCTGATTTTATCTTATTGTCATATTTGACCTTAAGTCTACGATAATTTGTAAGGAATAAATACATCAAGTGGGAACTTATTAGATTCGTAATAATGTGTTTTTTATTAATATGTAATTTTTATAACTTTTTTCATTACAAAATTAAAGATATTTTGCGATAAAAAATTGCACATAAAACGATAATCTGAACTTCGTTTTTCTGAAATAAGTAAAAAATAAGGTGAATTAAACAAGGCCTAAGTAGTCGTTACTCATTTGTGTAGTCAGCTACTCAGCTTGTTTAGCTTGAACAACCAAGTGATCAAATCTTGATTGCTAAATTGAACTTGTTGCTAATTGTACAGTTTTCATACTCCCTTCAGTAAATATGTAAATTTGAGATAGATTTCCCTTAGAAATTTGGGAATCAATCGTGAAGATAAACTGTTAGGAATAAGTTAAGATTAATTGTCCCAGGTCACCACAGATATATCTCATGGAAAATGCAGCACCAATCTAGTGCACGTATAAACGCAATGAAAATCCATGAGCAGCAATTTCATCTCATAGAATATCGTCTTATTTATCCAGCTAAATATTACACTAGTCATAACATTACATGCTAGAGTGGGGAGCTGATAGCACACAACAATCTACATAAAAAAGACAAGGAAAATGCTTGATTATAGCTGCTGATGCTATCACACTTGATGCACAAAGCAATAGCCGGTTGCATCTGCAAGTTCATCAATTTCTCCTGCATAGACGCGTAGTGTAGCTCATATTCTAAGTTATGACAGGTCTCAGTTCAGAACGGAGGCAATAGTTAAATGTGAAGCAAAACAAGACTCGAGAATTGTTCGGAGGTGTAGAAATCAATTATTTTATCACGGGAAAACTAGCTTCCTAAATGCACTAACTTGTTGCAAGATTAAAGCCCTAAACAGAAACCCTAGCATGTACTACCTCCGTTACATATTATTTGCAACGATTTGACATAAAGTAGAGGGAAAAAATGTCTAATTGTTGCAATATGCAACGGAGGTAGTATATTGTACTCCAAAGTTGCAAATAATAAAAATCGGAGGTAGAATATTTCTTTTTTACTAATTCCCTATTATACACATTATATATTGGTCTTTAAAATTACAGATTTTTACCACACCGAAATCATTTTCAATTAGCAGCCATGCATAATTTCACATCACATAATAACAAAATTACGAAAACTCCATATATATTCTTGTTTCAAAGGCTGCTTATGTGATACCCTTCCTCTTCATCACAAGTCAGATAAATAACAGAAACTCAATGTCTCTTGTCCCAAAAATCACTGCTCATGTTATGGCATCTTCCTCTCATCTCAAGTTTATTACGAGTATAAAAAAATGAGAAGTTGATCTGTTAGTTTATTTCTACCAGAGCAAACGCAATGTTATAGAACTGCCATATGCTCTCTCAGTAACTCATTAGCCAAAAAGGAACAATTGCATAAATCTCAAGTTATCTTCCTCCACTTTGTTTTTGTAAAAAATCAGTGAATGTCTGCTTTGTTTCATGAATTATATTCTGTCGAGTGAAACTAACATCGACTATTCGACTGCCAAACCTTTTGATTGCTCAGTCATCTAAATGGCACCATGTAGAACACTGTTCAGGAGCAAATACGTGAGAACTTTAAACAAAATCTACAAGTACATACAAAATACAAAGAACTTTGTAACTGTCAATGATCAAACTAACTGCCACAAAAAAATAATTAGTATTTAGACTGTTTGGGGTGTATTTGTTACCAAAGTGTAGCTGACTGGCTAACATCCCATTACCATTCCCAGGTACAATAGCCAGCAACTAATTAGTAAATAAACAAGAGGATACATAAAAATATGTTTAGAAGTAATTTAGAAACTCAAACATGCAGGTTCACAAATGATCTCGTTTACATAATCTCGTTGGTCAACTACAGAGTTTGTTTTATAAAGGTTTTTTTTAAGGGGATAAAGAAGCAAAAACAAAAAATTACCTCAACTCAGGCCACAGTAATGCTCAACTCGCCAAGCTTGGGACTATAGCCAGAACCTTCAAGGCTCAACTGCAATTTTCTATCCAAACGTCGAGAAGGAGCTATGCTCATTGAGGCAAAACTGAAGGTCGAGGTGAGGTGCATAGTACTAATAAACGTTTGACAAAATTCAAACCAACTCACACCCATTATAAGCATCAGCTTATTCGAATCCAGCTTTCTTCTTGAGATGATTCTTGAAGGCAATGATATCCCCTCCCCAACGAGTGACGGCTTGATTCTCACACACCCATATCTCATGGGCCACTTGGTTGATGAGCCTGAAATCGTGGCTAACAAGAACCATACCACCATCCCACTCGTTCAACGCCTCGGCCAATGAATCAATAGTCTCAATATCCAAGTGATTAGTAGGCTCATCCAGCAACAGCATGTGAGGCTGCCTATAAGCCAGCCAAGCAAAGATAACTCGACTACGCTGTCCATCAGACAAATTTTTCATAGGCATAGTCTGTGCTTTGCCAGATAGCCCAAACCTCCCTATTGCTGACCTCATTTTCTCTTCTTCGGTACCTGGATATTCTCGCAACATATATAGTAGAGCAGAAATTTCTAAGTCGAGCTTTTCTGCAAGATGTTGATGGTACTGGGCAATCCTCAAGTGATTGTGTCGCTTCACCGTGCCTTCAAGAGGAACCAAATCCCCTGTCATCAGCTTCAGAAGCGTACTCTTTCCAGCACCATTGGGACCCACCAGGGCAATCCTGGAGTCAAGGTCCACACCAAACTCGAGGTTTTTGTAAAGAATATTCTCTGGTGTATAGCCAAATGACACTTCCACAAACTGCAACACTGGAGGGGGAAGCTTTCCAACATCTGTAAAACGGAAAACAAGAACTTTGTCTCTGGAAACTTTCTCTGTCAGTCCTCCCCTCTCCATCTTTGCAAGTGTTTTCTCCTTGCTCTGTGCTTGACGGGCTAACTTAGCAGACCCGTGACCAAACCGAGCAATATACTCTTTCATGTTAGCAATCTGTTCCTGCTCCCATTTGTATTGTTTCATTTGATTCTCTTCAAGTTCAGAACGGGTCTGAACATACTGATCATAGTTTCCAGAGTAGATTGTCAACTTCTTGTTTTGCATGTGTATAATGTTAGTGCAGACACCATTCAGAAAATCTTGAGAGTGTGAAACCACAACAAGAATGCGATTGAAATTCTTCAGATTCTCCTCTAGCCAAACACAAGCTTCAAGATCTGCCATCAAAATGAACAAGCAAGGTAAATCAAACTTATTTCATAAAAAATAAGCGCAATAACACCGACACAATACAAGTTCCCAAAGAGAAATATAATTCAATTAAGCTAAACATATCTTATCACAACACCACCACCATATTATTAGTACATTATGTGCTGAAATTTTCAAAGAGTGCCCAAGCACGATCCAAGCGCACTAACAGTTTTGTGGTTAAGTGCCTAGGCCAAATCAAACTTATTTAAGCATGGTTGCCTAACATTGAGTCGTCATTCTACATTAATACATGGCCCAGAGCCCAGCTCAAAGTAACATTGCCATGTCAATGGGGACAGGCCAGCCCGGCTCAGTGTCATTTTTATTGTTAATATCAACAGCTCAACGTAATATGTTGACCAAGTATGTTTACAGAGGATAAGATTATCTAAATTGCACCGTCTGGCATATGAATCATCGCAAGATGTTCTCAAAGCATCATAACATAAAATGTTTGAGAAACATCTCTCCTTACTTTAAAGGGATGTGGAAGTCAATGTCAGACAAACTTGGGCATAAGAAAAATTAAGCACAAAAGAAGTACCATAAGATGAAGTGGTTTAACTTACCAAGGTGATTTGTAGGTTCATCCAGCAGTAAGATGGTTGGATTCATAAATAACGCCCGTGCCAATGCAATCCTCATTCTCCAACCACCAGAAAAATCTCTAGTCATTTTTTCCTGCATCATCTTGTCAAATCCAAGACCATGCAAGATTTCAGCAGCACGCTTTTCAGCAGTTGCTACATCAAGAGCTTCCAACCGCTCATAAATACGTTCAAGTGCTTCCCCACCTCCATCATCCTATAGGCAAAAATATTAATTCTGCAAGCCAATGATTATAATAAAATAAATAAAAAAATAATCAGGCAAACAATTAATATATGCAGAGTAAACACCTGTGCCACTAATCTTTCAACTTCTTGTTCTAACTTGATCCTTTCCTCATCACAGCTTATTACAGCCTTAAGGGCAGACATGTCAGATGCTTCTATCTCACTGCTAAGATGATAGATATCCATGTGCTCGGGAATTGGAAGCTCTCGGAGTCCTATTGCAGTAAGAAGGGTAGATTTTCCACAACCATTTAAACCCAGCAAACCATAACGTCTGCAGATGTGTAATTCCCAAGTAAAACGCATTACGCCCCGAGTGAAAAAAATTCAAATATAAAGATAAAAACAAACTTTAAGAATACAAGTTTGGGATAGCAACAAACCTTCCATAGTTCAGCTCCAGCATCGAGTCAACTATCAGATCGTGTCCATGAAAAGTAACTGACAAAGACTCTATCTGCAAGGTAGAGGAGTTCCATCATGACACAAAACAGAGAGCTACAGAGACATGAAGCAGCCACATGCTCAAAATACAAAAGCATATTATACATAACTTTACCTCCTAAGTAAGAAGGAATCACAAGGGATGACATTTCGGGAATATTCACTAAATTATAAGTTCATTCAATTAATCCAGCATCATAGATGGCAGAACACCCAGCTGACAGACGATCTGCTCGCCTAGGCATTGGTCTAAGTGCGGCATAGCTAACAAGAATAAGCTAGAAGTGAGACCAGCTAACCACATGATTTGTGAACATGCACAGAAAAATATATGAAAGGAATGACTCCATTAACAACTACATATTCAACAAAAGAAACTCAAAGGAATATAGACATGATTGCAAATAACATAATATATGCAAAAACTAATATGCAAGAAATGGATCAATTCCATATTCTCTTCACCGCATACTTCGACGGCTAACATATCATTCAAACCTCGCCATTCAATTTCAGATTAACAAACAAGAAAAAATCTTTTTTTTTTTTTACATCAAAATTTCATGAATTTTTTATCCCAATACAAACAAACCATAACAAGACGATGACTTTCAAATAAATTTGTTTGAAAAATAATCCCTTTAATTGATTAATTCAAACCCCTTATTCAGTTCAAGCAAATCCCAAAATAGACTTCAACTACCTAACATTAGTAAACTCAAAAACTCCTCCTAAAGCTCCCATTTTTATCCCAATTCTTGTAATTATAATCAAGAGCAACAACAGAATTTCACATAAATAAGAAATTCAGCACGAAATAGATCTAAAAAAAACATACCCTAACATCTCTTGACAAAGGATGCGAGCAAAGAATACCGGTACAATTCCGATCAGAAATCACCATATCTCCAACTGCTTCAGTAACCTTATCAACACTTTGAGCTGCCGCCTTCGATGAGGCAGGCGCTTTACCTCCTCTTTTCGCCGCCGCAGCTGCCTTCTTCTGAGCAGCCTTCTTCTTGCTTGCGTCCGACACCATTTTCAAACTACAAAATCACACAAAATCAATCAAAAATCCAAAATCAAAACACCACAAATCAGTCAAAACTACAAAATACATCAATAACAACAAATTCAAGCAAATTAATGAGTATATTACATATACAAACATACCAATTAGGTTACGGAGAAGATAGAGAGATGAGATCGGCGACAAAAAATGGAGGAGAGAGAAGATGAAAAAAATTGGGATCTAGGGTTAGGGTTTCCGACGGAAGTGGAATTATATCGGACGATAGAGGGAGAAAATAGAGTCCCAGGTGTGTGGATTATAAGGCTTGTTAAAAAGAGGGTTTTACAAGTGAAGGTGCTCAATTTATAAGTACCTAATCGGTGTCGTGGCCGACTTTTTTTTTTTTTTTTAATTATTCCCCTTAGCCTAGATTTTTACATCTTCTAGATATTTATTTTTTGCCACACACAATGACACAAAGTTGTATAATGACTATAATCTGGTCAATATAAGCGGTCATACCAAAGAATCATGCCCTCTAGGACGGTTGGTTACTTGTCAAACTAGAGCCTATTCTCATACTTTTATTTTCAGTTCACCTCCTAATTCTCTTCTCTTATAAAATATTCATTTCATTTCACTTCAACCTTTAAGAACAGGCCCTTAGTTGGTTTAAATCTTGAGATGTTATTCGAGATATGAGAATAGGGAGAGATTGTGGTTTTTGGAAGGTTATGATTGACACACACACAAAAAAAAATAAAAAATAAAAAAAATTCTAAAGTGATTGTATAGAGATTTAAGTAGGACGGATTCAACCTAACTCAAACTGATTCAATGAGATTGCTGAATTGAAAACTAAATACACCATCATGTGTTTATGTGTGTTTGATCTTCCTTAATTCCCCAAACTTCTTACTTACTCTGTTCTTTTTTACTTGACATGTTTCTTTTATCACACTTGTCGATGCACAAGTTTAACCATCAATAACTTTAATACTCTATAAGTAAAAATTATTAAAGTTATATATTGTGGTAGTACTTATTTAGACGATTCTAACAAGATCTTATATGAATATGTTTTTCTTTACCTATAATTCACAAAAGACAGTCAAAAGTGGGTTGGTGAATAGTGTAAAAGTCAAAGCGGGTCAAGTTTAAAAGAACGGAGGAAGTAAATCTTAAAATTCTTGCTTCGTTATATATATATAGTCATTACTTTAGCTTAGTTTGCTTCTTATTTTTTCTATGAGAAGGTTTTGCGTACAACGGACTCACGTGAGATCGGGATCAGTAACAAAAAGGTGCGGGTATGAGAAAGCTGATCAAAGCCCGCACACCAACATTTTATAAAATTAATAATATTGTCGTATTCCTGATAAAAATTATTTTATTCCTAACTAAAATAGTCTTATTCCTGATAAAAAAATATCTTATTCCTGACTAAAATTTTCTAATTCCTGACAAATATTAAACCAATTAATATTAATGTGATGCCTGACAATACTAATGTAATGCTTGACAATACTAATCTAATACCTGACAATAAACACTAAATACCAAACAATAACAATCAAAGATCAAACAATAAACATCTAGTACCTGACATTATTTTCTCCTTCACCAATGACCCTCTTCTTCTTACATGACTACAATATTTTCTCTCTCCTCAACCCTCATATTTCACATCATCTCTAACAAACTCCTACAGTTCATCATCAATTAACAATTCCACAATCAAATTGCACAAAATCAATTAATCAAGTTCAACCAAAACTACCGCGACAAAGCCGCCTCACCAAAATCCTCCTTATCTCGACCATTATCAATAGAATTCAACCTCCCCAAACTCAACTGAGTAGCAGCACGGATCTGGTCATTCTCTAGGTCATCTCGAAACTCCGAATTCGAAGCACTGATCACCAAAGCAAGTTGCATTTGATCATTCTTCATTATATTGCCGGCAAGTTAGGAGGTGCGGGAGAGGAGACGGAGAGTGGTGGAGGATCTGGCCACCGCCATTGTTGGGCGGCAGGAGAGAGAAAGGGGAAGAAGGAGAATGAAGATGGTGGAATTACGTGAGTCCGTCTCACCCAAAACTTTACCTGGCCTTTTTCTATTGTTACACCAATATTTTTCATCAATAAATCTGCTCTGTTGCTACTACTGCTGAGTGATTGTTGCTAATACAACTAGTGCCACGCTAGATTAGTTTGTTACAGGTTGTTAGAAGTTGTTAGAGTTTGTTATAAGCACTATTCTGACATGTAATAAGTTTGTTACTGTAAGTTTTCCTTTAAGAAACTTCTAGCAGTAGCTTATATATATTGCTCCTATAATCATCTTCATTATTCAATCATAATGAAAGCTCTCTTCTCTTCTCTCTAAAATCTCTCTCTATTTTCTCTGTTATGAAATGGCAGAATTCAATATGGTATAAAAGCAGGTGGATTTCCAGTGGTTTGTTGAATTCTGTTGATTTTGTTTGTTGATTTTTCTTCCGCAAATTCTAATCTCTGATTTTGTTTGAGGTATGAACTTGATTTTCTACTTCAAATTTTGTTGTTCTTAGATCAAATTTCTGCGGTTTTATCTTGAGAGTTTGATCATTTTCTTCCAGTTTATTTCTGGTTTATTCTGTACAATTTCCAATTTATTTCTAGAATTCTTTTATCTATTTTTTATCATTATCATAATTTTTGTTGAGTGCCTACAATCTGTTTGATTAATTGCAAATCAAGATGCCTGAGAATTTTTCGCAACCAACTCAAGATCCTACCAGACCATATTACATACATCCTTCAGAAAATACTAGTCAATCTTTGATTTCAGAGAAGTTTTCTGGTGAAGGTTATGGTGAATGGAAGCGCAGTATGATGATTGCTCTTTCTGCCAAAAATAACTTGGATTTGTTGATGGAAGCTTGGTTAAGCCGGCTCCAAATGATCCTGTATTTGCAGCCTGGAAGAGATGTGATGCTATTATCATATCTTACGTTCTTAGATCACTAGATAATTCAATTTCAAGAAGTGTTCTGTATTTGACATCTTCTAGAGAAATCTGGAAGGATCTAGAGGATAGATATTCACAGACTTCATGTCCTCAACTGTACACATTGCAGCAGAAGCTTGCTGATATTTCTCAAGGTGTTGATACTTCTATAGCTGAGTTTTTTTACTCAAATTAAAGATGTCACCCCTTCATAACGGATAGGAATCTTAATTAATGACGCAAAAAGTCTTTTCATCGCCCAGCTCGAACTGAAGGCGATGTAATCAAACTTATGGTTGACGCCGTAGAGAATATAAAGCTCTGGGATCAGATTAGTGAGATGAATCCTTTGCCTATTTGTTCCTGCAATGGTTGTACATGTGGCTTAACACAAAAGTTCTTGAAGCAGCAGCAAGAAGAACGACTTGTTCAACTGTTGATGAAGCTGAATAATAAGTATGCTAATACAAGATCAAACATCTTAATGATGCAACCTCTGCCTCCTATTTCTCTTGCTTACAGGTTACTTATTCAGGAGGAGAAGCAAAGAGAGATGAGTTCACTTGCTGATGAGACAAGCAAGGTTATGGTATTTACAGCAAATTCTCATAAGTATCAATCATATCCTAAATATCATCAACAGAATGCAGGAAATTCTCACAAATTTGTTGTTCACAACAAGAAGCTTGGTATTCCATTATTCAGTGATTATTGCAAGTTTCCTGGTCACATAGTGGATAAATGCTTCAAGATTGTTGGTTACCCACCTAATCATCCAAGCAAGTTCAAAGTAAAAAGGATTGCAGCACTTGTTCAAGGAGATGATGAGTCTCAGGAAGCAGACACTGATGATGCTCAGGTGACTCATATTTCACAAGAACACTACAACAATTTTCTGAGATATATGCAGACTCAGGAATTTGATGCAAGTTCTGGAGGTTCACTTGCTCAGACTGAGTCAGGAGCTTATATTGCAGGTACATGCCTTATTACTTGTTCAAATTCTAGGTGGATTATAGACAGTGGAGCTACAGATCATATATGCTCTAATATTGATTTGTTCACTGAGCTTAGACATTTTGATAAATTTCCTAATACAATAACTATTGCTGATGGAAAGAAGGTAGTAGTTAATCATATTGGCACTATTAAGTTTGAGAATGGAATTCAGCTTGATAATGTGCTTCATGTTCCTGGTTTCAAGTTCAACTTAATTTCAACTCACAAGTTGTGTAAAGACTTGAATTATGAGGTTACTTTTACTCATGATAAGTGTTTAATTCAGGATCCAATTTCGAATCAGTGCTTGGTTCTTGCTAACTTGAATTCTAGATTGTATGATGTTGATGAGGTTAATCAAGGGAAGGAACAGGACAATTCTGGTGGTGCTGCTGTTTCTCTTCAATCTTGCTTAGAAGAAGCCAAGTTGTGGCATCTTAGACTAGGACATCTACCATTTAATAAGTTGCATCTAGTCAATAATAATTTTGTTTGCACAATGGTAGTGACATTGTATGCTAGATTATAAAGCTAGGCAAACTAGATTACCATTTTCTTCTAGTTTTTCTAGCAGTACAAGATGTTTTGAACTATTACATGTAGATACATGGAGTCCATATAGAGTTAAAACTCATGATGGTTTTAGTTATTTTCTCACTGTGGTAGATGACTTCTCAAGACATACTTGGACTTTCTTAATGAAGAATAACACGGAAGTTGTTTCTGTTTTGTGTAATCTTGTTACTTTGATAGAAACTCAATTTAGTTCTAAAGTTTTGTGCATTAGATCTGATAATGCTAAGGAACTCTGTGAGGGAGATATTTTTGAGTTTGTATCATGAGAAGGGGATTGTGCATCAGAAGTCTTGTGCTGAAACACCACGGCAAAATGGTGTAGTGGAGAGAAAGCACAGACATTTATTGGAGACAGCTAGAGGGCTCTATTTTCAGTCTAGGGTACCTATGAGATTTTGGGGAGATTGTTTGTTATGTGCAACTCATTTAATAAACAGGATACCTCTTAGTAGTGTTAATTTCAGCTCACCATATGAGAAGATGCATGGAAGAAAACCTCATATGGAGCATTTAAGGGTGTTTGGTTGCTTGTGCTTTGTTTCTACACTGAAGAATGACATAGCAAAATTTGACCCAGAGCATCACCTTATATTTTTCTGAGGTATCCACCTGATCAGAAGGCCTATAGAGTCATGAATTTGGAGACTAAAAAGATTATAGTCACCAGAGATATTATTTTCTATGAGAAGCACTTACCTTTTCAGTTTGATCCTACCCTTTCTAAACCAAAATCTTAGATTTTCTTACCTGTAAACACACTTACTGATTTTGATTCACCCTATGATATACCAGAACCCTTCTCTTTTCCCACTGATTCTGATAACATTACATAATCTATCTTAGAGTCTACCCCAAACACATCACCTCACCCAAACACAGATCCTACCCCAAACACATCACCTCACCCAAACACAGCATCTACTTCAACCATTGTTCCTGTATTAGACCTTAATCCAGTGACACAGTCAACCAGACCAAGGAAATGGCCTTCTCATTTTGATAATTTTGTCTGTATAGAAGACTCAGTGTCTGAACACTGGTGCAACATTGTAAAATTTGATGTTTTTCCTACAGACACCAAGGTTTTGATTAATACTCTCTCAAGTTAATGAACCAGTCAGTTATTTTGAGGATTCTCAAGATCCTGGATGGGTTCAAGCAATGCAGAAGGAAATTGATGCCTTAACTGCTAACAATACATGGGTGTTAGTTCCTTTGCCTAAAGAGAAGAAACTCATAGGGTGTAAATGGGTATTTAAAGTCAAGTTAAAAGCAGATGGGACTGTTGAGAGGTTAAAGGCTAGACTGGTAGCAAAAGGTTTCACTCAAAAATATGGGATAGACTATTTGGAAACTTTCTCTCCTGTGGTCAAAATGACTACTAAAAGGTGTATTCTATCTTTGGCAGCAAGTCAGTCTTGGAAAATACATCAATTGGATCTTAACAATGCATTTTTGCATGGTGAACTCCATGAAGAAGTGTACATGAAGGTTCCTGAGGGAATGTAGAATCATGGGAATTTGGTATGCAAGCTAAAGAAGTCTTTGTATGGGCTTAAACAGGCATCCAGGCAGTGGTTTGCCAAACTGATTGCAGAATTAATTAATATGGGATATAAACAATCCAAAAATGATTACTCTTTGTTCTTGAAACAGTCAGAAACTTCTTTCACTTTGGCAGCAGTTTATGTTGATGATATCATAGTGACAGGCTCAGATTCTGCAGAGATTGAGTTTTTTTAAATCTCATTTGCATTCTAAATTCAGTATCAAGGATTTGGGATTGCTGAATTTCTTTTTAGGGATTGAAATTACTCATCTTCCTGCTGGGATTCTTATGACACAGAAGAAGTTCACCAGAGAACTCTTGCAAGGATGTCAAATGGACATTTCCAATGTGGATCTGACTCCTCTTCCTACTTATCTCAAGCTGCAAGCAGATGTTGGTGAATTTTATCATGATCCTGAGTTGTATAGAAGTCTGGTGGGTAAATTGAATTTTTTGTCTCATACAAGGCCTGATATTTCTTTCTCAGTTCAGACACTCAGTCAGTTTCTCAGTCAGTCTAGAACTCACCATGCTACAACATTAAATCATGTCCTGAGATATGTTGCTCATACTCAAGGACAGGGTATTTTACTCAGAGTTATAGATAAGCTTACTCTTTAAGCTTATTCAGATTCTGATTGGGCATCCTGTCCCAATACAAGGAAGTTGTAACTGGTTACATTCTTTTGTTAGGAAACTCACCTGTTTCCTGGAAATCTAAGAAGCAGGGCATAACTTCTAAAAGTTCAAGTGAAGCCGAATATAGAGCCATGGCTGGGGCTGTAATACCCCGTATTTTTATGTATTTTTATAAAGTATTTAAGTATTAATAAAATGTATTGTCAAGGGCTCAAGTATTTTAACTAAATATTTTAAAGGGTTAAAGTATTTTAAATATAAAGTTTTATAAAAGTAAAATATGTTTTGGGCCAAACTAACGTTTATTAATTACTGGGCAATGTAAATTATTCCTACATACTCTTATTGGAATAACCCATTCCAAAACCCATAACTTAAGCCTTATCCCATAACTCAAGCCCACATTTTTATAAGCCCAAATTTAACCCTACACTCTCTACTCTATAAATACCTCATGAATCCCCAAAAATTTCCCACACAAAAAGGTTAGTCTTATTTTCTCTCTCCTTTGTTTTATTAATTTGTGTAATTATAATTATTGATTTATGGGTTTTGATTTTATTGTTTGAAATTAATTTAATTAGTATCAAATTATATTTTGATGATTAAACTTTATAATTTCAGATTTTATAAATGTCATAATTTTCAGATTTTGTAAATTTTATAACCTAGGGTTTTTAATTATTGAAAATCATGATTTTAGGGTTTTTATGAACAATTGATTTAGAGCTTTTATAGTAATGATATTTTAAAATTTTGGTGATTATAACTACTGATTAGTTTTACTTAATTCCAGATTATTTTGAACGCATAAATTCATGTTTTAATAATTAGATTTCCGTTCGTTAATATTAATCCCGTATTAATCCCGATCAGGTTCTGAACTCGTCCGATTTTGATAAAAAAAAGTAGTGTTTTCCATGTGGAAACAACGTTTTAAGAAAACTCACTACCTTTGGTTGTGTGAACACCATCCTCTCGTGGCCAAATTAAGCTTCTAAGTATGATTTTCGGGCAGTTTTTGATTTTTAACGAAGTTTTTTTTATGCTTTAAATTTTATCCTTGAGTTTAAAAGGGTTAAGAGATAATTTAATGTTTCTATGGATAATTTAAGTATAAAGATGTATTTTGATGAATTTTTAAAGGGGTTTTTTATTAGTTTAAAATGCTGGAATTTTATTTAAAGTAGGCTGGAATTTTATTTAAAGTAGTATAATTGTGATTTTAATAAAAGGGTGTGATTACCCATTAAAATGAGTTTAATTAGGGGTTTTTAAATAAGTTTCAGATTATTTTAAGTAGTCTAAAGTAAATTTAAGTTGCTGGAAATTGTGTATACAAGGAGAATTAATATAGTATTATTGTCCCTTTATGTAGGAGACTTAATTCGGGAATTTTTGTAGTATAATCGGCTACTTTAAGGGCTTATTTGAGGTACGTTCGCGTACTTAGCATATTTTGATGATGTAGAATCATGCTAGGCTTGATTTCAATCAATTACAAGTAGTATCATGCTAAAGTTTACGTATGGAATTGTGAAGTATTGGTGTTGGTGATTGAATTGTGAAGCATGAATTATTTGTGATGGTCTATGGATTTAAAAATTAGATTTTGGCATGATTATATGGACTATACTTTTAATTATGGCATGTTAGAGTGCATGTTTAATTAAACTACATGTTTAATATGGCTTGGAATACTGTAAAGGAATTTTATTATGGTTCATATAATTTTTTTATCGATGGTTTAAGCATGAGGAAGGAGCTATATAAGTGTCTATGTACACGAGGAATAAATTGTATGTTGGTGCCTTTGTGCACTTAAGGTGTTTTTAACAGCGAGGGATAGGATTTTTGGCACTTTATGCGTTTAAGGTGTCTTTGACATTGAGGTAGAATTAAAAGAGGTTCAACATTAAATAATATGTGGTCACTAATTATTCAAGAATTAAATTGATATGTTTGGTTGATTGAATAATTATTGTTGATTGATTTATTATACTTTGAGAGTCATCACCAAGTCCAATAACACGTAAATAATGTAAAGTGAAAGAAATTACGCACCAAAACTCTTGGAACGTATATACCTTGAGTATGAACAATGGGGGGAGTTATGGGGTTTTATATTTAACCATAACTTCTAATGGAGTACAGGATGTTGTACATTCCTTTTTATTTATTATTATGCGCAGGAATTCCGACACCTTTGAGTGGTTTTGTCGCTGGCACGGTTAGCTCCCGTGTCAGTTAACCTCAATTTATTTGGGGGAGGTATAGTTAGAAACTCGTTCGATGCGTAATTAACGCTAAATGAATTATTTAGTGTCTAGTTAATGTGTCTTGTTGATTGTTGTGTGTGCTTGTAAACAAGTGCAATGAGGTAAGTGTGTGTCTTTGATGGTTGCCTTAGCGGTTTTCACGGTGGCGGTAATATCTTAGATACTCCTATTTAAATTTTTAAATAGGGCAAAACAGGTATTTTAAAAGAAAGGAATTTCTAGGGTGTTACAGGGCAGCATCTGAAGTAGCCTGGCTTGTCAGATTATTGCAAGAGATGGGAATACAGGATTTACAACCTGTTACTCTCAAGTGTGATAATCAAAGTGCCATACACATAGGAAAAAACCCTGTATTTCATGAAAGAACAAAACATATAGAGATTGATTGTCATTTTAATCGAGATAAGGTTTTGAAAGGGTTGTTGGAGCTCACTTATGTTGCTAGTGGTGAACAATTAGCTGATATTCTGACCAAGGCTTTGCCAGAGAAGCTGCATACTAAGCTCAAGTCCAAGCTAGTGCTGTCTGCAGATGACATACATCCTAGCTTGAGGGGGGATGTTGCTACTACTGTTGAGTGACTGCTGCTAATACAACAAGTGCCACGCTGGATTAGTTTGTTACAGGTTGTTAGAAGTTGTTAGAGTTTGTTATGAGCTCTATGCTGACATGTAATAAGTTTGTTGCTGTAAGATTTCCTTTAAGAAACTTCTAGCAGTAGCTTATATAACTGCTCCCAATTTCTTTTATTTTATGTATGGAACTTGTTAACTTTGTAGATTAAAATATCATTGTCCATTAATGAATTTACATCACACTCTCTTTCCTCATATCTTAGTTCATTATTTTCATCCCCCCTCTCTCTCTCTCTCTCTCTCTCTCTCTCTCTCTCTCCATTTGTTATGGATAATTCCTCTTAAGAACCCTAAAAACAATGATTCTTCACTCGTCAAATTAAACTTGATAATTTCTTTGGGTTATATAATCGATTTTAGGTTTTTGTCATCAACTCTCTTTATTATAACTAGATAATCCCAATATAATTTAATAAATCCAATTATTTTTTTCTGTATGAATCAACACATTTTCTCCTCTAGGGTTTTTTCAAATGAATAATTGTTTTTTTTTTTAATCTTTGCTTTTTAACAAAATTTGATACATGTCAGATCCCAAGCTTGTTCACTTGTCAAATCTAAAAATTTCCTTGGATTTTTTTTAGTTTAATTTTTATTTTAATTATTTATCATCAACTCTATTTATTAACCAGATTCCCAATTTAAGTTAACAATACCAACTTTCCTTTTGTGAATTGACACCTTTTTTCTCCTAGGGTTTCTTTGGATTTTTTTTTGTACAATGGTCCTCTTACAAAGGGAGGAAAATAGGGGAGTTTTTTAGAATTTTCTTTTTTAAAAAATAAAAATCTTTAAAAGGGAGGGTGTTGTACCACACTGCTTATACAACGGGTGTTGTTGATTTTTTTTTGGGTTTCTCCTATAAATTACAATTCTTAATCTTTGCTTTTCTGGTATACTTCAACAAATTCGATTGCATTTGAGATCCCAAATTTGGGTTCATCTTATTCATCTCGATCTCCACTTTTTATCGCATATTCTAACTCGTCAACTAAACTTTATATCTCCTTCAATTGGTAGCAATTCACGTACATACTATATATCAAAATTGTGAACGAGGAAGAAATTATGATGGGAGTCATGATTATAAACCCTAATATTTAAAGGCTCGTTGCATTTGCTCTTAAGTTCCAACACCTAACTACTCCAATCCTAAAAAAGAAGTGATTTCTAATGATGAACAAATGAGGAGGAAAATCCACCATATGAGATCTCCATCAAAGATGAAGTTGTTAGTCAACTACGTCTAAGGTGATGGTGTTTAAAGTGATTACGATGATCAGTGGCGGATCCAGGATTGATTGATAAGTTTTCCTATCCTCGACCACGTATAATATATTAGACAATAGCTTAGCCAAAGCTTTAATAATGAACCAAAAACAGTTACATAAAAAGGTTCATTTTATAAAGTAATACTTCTACAAATGCATATTACAACAAAATAAAATTTAGATTTATTACAATTTTTCTCGACAAGTTTTCATATTTTGATGATGATTTACAGTATCATTCATGCCAACATTATTAAAAATAATCCAAATCTATCGCTAGATACATACTCAAGTAATCTTTGAACATTTGATCTCCCATGCTATTACACAATTTATCTTTCTCTTAGCTTGCGTCATTCCAAAAAGTAATCTTTCTACACTTGTCATTGCAACGAGAAGAATCAACACTAACTTCAAAAGTAAGTAGACTTGATCATTTGTTATAAACTCTCCCGTCTCAACAAGTTTCATAGAAAACTCACTTAGACTTTTCAAAAACCAAATCTCTCATCATTTCGAGAACATCAACGGTGAAATTTTCAATGAATGCTCAAAAATATTAACTCGAAGCTTGAAACTCATCAGGATAAAATTGTGCAAGTTGAACTAATTTTCTTTTCAAATGAAGAAAACTAATTAGCAGGATTAAAGCAAGACATACACATAAGTAGATCCTTACTCACCTCAGTATATCGTTTCAAGTTCTTGTGATTGAAGGTCAATGACACTAAGAAAAATTTCAACTCGAAAATGATGAAAATTTGTCACTTGTCGACCTTACCTCTAAACATTTTTCTCCCAAGAATAATATATCATCTTTCCATGTGTGGAACCTAAATGCATATTTAACCATACAAGAAGCGACTTTCTCCATATGATAATCCTGTTCTTCACTTTTCATGCGTCTTTTAAAAATTTAGTCTTGGTTAGATCAACCATCACCATTACATGTACAATTTCTTGATCATGTTTTAGCAATGCCACATTCAACTCATTTATAATTCCAAATATAACAACCATCAAGTGTGTCACAAAAACAAAATCAAATGATATCTATCAACAAGTGTGTAATAAATTGTGCTTTATTTGAATCAATTGCATCAGATACCCAATTGACAAATTAAAAGTATGGTAGGATATATATCAAGTGAATCAAATGACATCAAGTGACAAAAGTATTGTATGATATAAATCAAGCACATTCAAAATAGTTTTAAATTAATGTGAGATCCCCAATGACCTACATAAGCCACGTTCTTGATTTAAAAAAGTTCTTGATTCAATACTAAATTTCACTCATGGATAATGCTTCTACAACCCATTAACACTATTTTTCTAGAATAAACTCTTTCCTCTTAGTGAATTTCCCACAAATTTCAAGAGAGATGCAAGTACATCAACAAAAATCCAACCATAATCTGAGTTTTTCTTAGCAAGATAAACTTGTGGCAATTAAAGTTGATGAGAAAAGCAATGGACAAAGTATGCTTGGGGAAATTCATTCAAGATTAAATTTTTAAGGCCATTATATTGTTTGAACCTTGCATATTACTTGCCCCGTCATAACCCTGCCCTCAAACTTGAGAAAAAATCAAAGAGTATTACATGAGTAATGACTCAATAGTAGGTTTAAAAGTCAAATAACTAGTATGAGAAACATACACAATATCGAGAAAACACTAACACACTTCCCCCCTTTTATTAACATTAACAAATCTCAAACAAAGTGCCATTTGTTCCTTATCGGAAACATAAGCAGATTCACCAGTAAGAAAAAAAAAATTAAAAAAAAAACCATCAATTCAAATTCTTCTAGTATGCTTAAGTTTTTCTTTTGTACCGGCATTAATTTTATCTTTTCGGGACACTTGGAGAACTAAGTTGACTATGGCCTGGCTTTGGAATGCTCAAGATCATGGTTTAAATTCAAAGAAAAGCCAATAGCTTAAGAAAGCCTCTAATCAATGAACTTAGTTTTTCATCATGACCATGAAAAGACAACTCTTAGAGCCTGTTCTCTTCAGCTTATTTTCAGTTCGGTTCAGCTCCAATAAGTGCTACTACTACTACTACTACTACTACTACTACTACTACTACTACTACTACTACTACTACTACTACTACTACTACTACTACTACTACTACTACTACTACTACTACTACTACTACTACTACTACTACTACTACTACTACTACTACTACTACTACTACTACTACTACTACTACTACTACTACTACTACTACTACTACTACTACTACTACTACTACTACTACTACTACTACTACTACTACTACTACTACTACTACTACTACTACTACTACTACTACTACTACTACTACTACTACTACTACTACTACTACTACTACTACTACTACTACTACTACTACTACTACTACTACTACTACTACTACTACTACTACTACTACTACTACTACTACTACTACTACTACTACTACTACTACTACTACTACTACTACTACTACTACTACTACTACTACTACTACTACTACTACTACTACTACTACTACTACTACTACTACTACTACTACTACTACTACTACTACTACTACTACTACTACTACTACTACTACTACTACTACTACTACTACTACTACTACTACTACTACTACTACTACTACTACTACTACTACTACTACTACTACTACTACTACTACTACTACTACTACTACTACTACTACTACTACTACTACTACTACTACTACTACTACTACTACTACTACTACTACTACTACTACTACTACTACTACTACTAACTACTACTATACTACTACTACTAACTACTACTACTACTACTACTAACTACTAATACTACTACTACTACTAAAAAAACTAACTACTACTAACTACTAACTACTACTAATAAATAATAATAATAATAATAATAATAATTCAGTTCAGTTTAGTTCAGCTCCAATCATTCAGTTTAGTTCAGCTCCAATCATTCAGTTCAGTTCAGCTCCAATCAGTTCAGTTCAGTTCAGGCAGTTCAAGTTCAACTTCAATTAGTTCAATTCAGTTCAACTCATTTCAGTAAATGAGAACAGGCCCTTAAAACAATAACTACATCTGATGGTTTCGATTAAAGCTTCTAATCTCTTAAATTATGTACTATATTCACTCATACTTTTTGTCGTTTGTTTTGATAAAGCAGTGGTAATGCTACTCTTTTAATTCATGAAAAATTTATAGTAATCACAATATTATTGATCATCTAAGGGGTTAGGCGACACAACCTCAGCCGATTGACTACCAGCTGTGACTCCTTACTTTAGGGGACAATCCACCTCCATTTCCCCTTAAGATCTTAATGCCCCTTCGCCGCCTAAGATGAAGAGTGTCTTAGTCAAAGCCTTTGATGAAATAAACAAGCAACCTAGTGGAGAAAATAAAAGCCTGTCAAAATCTATTTTACCTTCAAGGCGTAGATGATTCTACGTGATTAAAATGCTTCCCATCAACCCCGAAAGGTGTTGCACAAGATTGGTTTTGCCTTCTACCAACCGAATGCATAAACTATTTCCTAACATTTAGCTTGTTGTTTGCGGGAAAATTTTCCTAGAACATCCAGCCAAGAAGACTAGCATGCAGATAGACAAAATCTAGAAAGCAGAAGATGGATTTTGATCCTATGTTCATAGATTTAACATGGAGAAAATTCAGATTCATGGGCTATCGGATGAAATTGCTTTGTATGAATTTGTCCGAGGATTGTAGCAGGGCATATGCAAGTTTGAATTGATTTGGAAGGGTCTTATGACACTTACAAACTCTTAAGAAAACCAATCTTTTATTCCTGCTATCGAAGTCTATTTGGCCACCAAAGCCGAGGAAAAAGGGAAGAAAATAGAAAAGAAACAAGGTGGAACTTTAAGTAGTAGCTGACACACCATCAACTATTGATTTGAGTGCAACGTGTACTGTTAATGGGTATTTTGGGCATCAAATTGAGACATTTCTGATAATTAAAGGGCAATAATAACAAACGCTACACCCTAATCAATAGTTGGCGGTGTTTTTTTAGTAGTCAAAGTTTAGGATGTTAATTGAACCAGACTAGAGGCAGATATCAATCATCGTATTGCGTGCACTTCCTAGCTTGTAGCACTAGCCAACCTCGGGAAGTCCTGCTCTTTGCTCTCTCTTATCCTAGGAATTGGAATTCCTAAGAAGATAAGCACCTGTCATTTGATTTGAAACAGAAAAAATCTCTCTGTAAGGTGAAACCCACCAAACAGAGAAACAATGGCTGCCATGAACCACCACCATTCATCTCCATTGTTGCTGAAAAACCCTCCTTATTCTCAAACTTCTCTCTTCAATCCTTCCTTTCCCATTCAATTCCATAAATACCCACTTCGAATTTCTTCTGAATTAGCCCCTAAAGCTCGAATTATCGCCCGCCGCAAGGAGACTGTTCCTGTTCACCAGCTTCAACGCCCTCTTTGTAATATTACTCTATTTCCTTTAATTTTAATGCTTGCATTATTGATTTCTGTTCTTGGGTATTTCTTATTTTGGGTTGTTGATCGTTTGCCTGTTTTCATTGGTATCTTACTGTAATTAGGAATTTGATAATCATGTTTGTTAAAGATATCTTCAATGATTTTATTAATTTATTTATTTATATGTTTGTTTGTGGTGGAGTAGTGGAGTATATGAGCTTGCCGGCAAGTCAATACTCAGTGTTGGATGCAGAGAGGATAGAGAGAGTAGATGATAGTACATTTAGGTGCTATGTCTACAGGTTTAAATTCTTTTCTTTCGAGGTTTGCCCGGTTTTGCTTGTTCGTGTCGAAGAAGAGCCTAATGGATGTTGTATTAAGCTCTTATCCTGCAAGGTCTGACTTCTTCTTTGCCCTTTTGTTCTATTGCTAGCAATGTCCACTTTTTTGTATGCATTGGTTGTGTGAATTGAGGCTATATATGGTTCAATTGCCTTGATTGATGGTCTTTGTTAGTGTGAAGTTGACTAGATTGTCAACCTTATAATAGACATTTTCAAAGAATAGAGGGGTTGTCGCTTACAAGTTACAATTTGAATAAACTGCCATTTAATTACTCATTATGTTAATAAGCTTAAAGTGTATCCTATGCATAACTCATTAGTTGCATTCTTTCAGAATTTTGTAAAATTTATTATGACATTTAGTCATTTGTTTGTTAATGAATTATGTGTTTATTTAGAGCTACTTTGTTTATATACAAAGCTCATGTGTCTGTAGTTTGGCCTTTTGACACTGGTGGACATGGGCTTTTCCTTATCGTGTGATATTCTTCATGACAGTTGGAGGGATCACCGATCGTGGTTGCGCAGAACGACAAATTTGAGGGTAAAAATGTTCTGTTACAAGATTTCCTATAGCATTAGTTTTCATTTACAGCTCTAAGCCATCTTCCTCTTGTATATGAATTGCTTTGAAATGCTTGAATATTTGTTTCTGTGACCATTAAGTTTCGTTTTTTATGTGTATACCTGATCTCTACTCCAAGGGTTCCCTGTTAAATTGAATTTTCTAAGATTCTTACTGTTGGTATGAAATATTGACTGAGCCCTCTGGGTATTGATCTGGTCTGCCTAGGCATATGCCTTAGCTGTGCTTTTTTTAATTGATTTTTGTTAACCTATAAAGATTTTGACCACTATTATTGGAAAGGCCAAAGCGCTCCTCTAGGTTTGATGTAGTACTATCCTATTTTGGAGAACTTAGTCTCACACAATGCAATTGATTTATTTATTTTTTGGTACATGGAATCAAAATTAGTTGATGCATAATAAATTGCAAGAATTCAATCCTAATAACTAAGCTTCACTTAGCCACTTAGGTACCAATTGGGTGTTTAGATTGCTTAGGTAGGTGTTTAGAATGGTTACACAATTATTCAACCTAGCAAAACACCCCAATATAGCGTTTCGTTTCATTTGGTTTTTTCGGGATAATTTGGATAACTAAGCTTTGTGGTCTTTTAAGAATGATTATAGTTGAACTAGGATTGAAGTAATTTTGGATCAGTAGTTCAGTGTGCATCTATGTTCAGTGAATCTTATTGGATAAGTTTTAAGTCTTATTTTTGGTTATTATATTTCTTAGGTGTGTTGTTAGCCTTAGTTTTAATTGTATATTTATAATTCTAGATCAAAATTGGTTAAAGTCTAAGTTATCCTTCTCCCATGTAGATTAACTCTTAGGTGAGTAAAGCCTTAAAAATAATTTGAGATCCCTCATATGCGAGCATTAAGATAAACATGAGTATTTTTTATAACTTTTTCATCAGTACTGGCTATGCTACCTCTATCTTGTAACATTTGCATTTGCATGGTTGACAAAACTTATTCGTGAAGAAATTAGTAAAAGGACTGAAGGCCAAATGGTACGTTTAAGTTTGTAAGGTCTATCTAATAGTCTGATAATGAATTTATTGGCTCCAGAAATGTAAACATGAGATGTTGCCACTACTACTCTGCTTCTATAGGTGAACACATTATCTGGTTATGAATGTAGGAAAGATGCAAGTGTTTAATGTACTGGATAAATCCGGAGGAATAAAAGAAATATATGGAAGGGGTACAAATTTAACTTTCCTTGTTTCCCTTGGAATTTTCTTGTATATGAAGGTATTTTTTGGGCTCTGTGAAATTATAAGTTGGACACTTAAACTGGTTATGGAACTGCCTTGTATATAAAGGTGACAAAACATTCCCGGAATAAGTGGAGAACAGTTTTTAAACTGTCTTTGGCATGTTTTAATCATTATATGCTAGTTTTGAGTCCTTGTGTCATGCTATTTCAGGAATGCGTTGACATTGGTTTGGTATGGGAATGCAGCTTCCATGGTGAATCGTATATCTTGTGGTGTGGAGCAAAGCAACTCAGAAATACAGCAGCTCACTTCTGATGCAGTCATTGAGGTAATATGCCTTTCGAGATTATGTTACAATTCTTACCCAACGGTCTAGGATTTGCACTCATTTTCTCCTGGATTTTAGGTGAGCATTGATGTACCTTTTCCATTTCGAGCAATTCCAGTACAGATGATTGAATCAAATGGAGCACGAGTACTTGAACAAATACTTGTGATTATGCTTCCTCGATTTATGGCACAGGTTTGTAAAGTTAATGCTGAATGTGCTTCCATTGGTATTCTATGTAAAGAGTCATTTCAAATGTGCTCCTTCCATCTCACTTTCCCATATTTCAATATTAGTTAATTATTATCTATTTCCTTGTTTGGAATAAGTCTGCCCAATGGTAGATCTAGGATTTTATGCCAATCAATCAATAACAATGCTTTGTTTAAAAAAAAAAAAAAGATACTTTATACGGAGTAGAGAGTCAGTCTAGGAGTAATAAATGTTACTCCATCAATTGCTTAAATTTTTCTTTACGTTTCATATTATGCACGATGATTATAGAGACCACGGCATGAGCTCTCCAAGGCATCCTACAACAAGGACTTGCATCAGACTAGTGAGCATATGAAGGAAGATGCAAGATTAATGGGAAATTTGAGTATAAAACACCAAGTATCATGTAATTCTATAGAAAGCAACTAAAAAGAAACAAATTTAAGAGAATAAGCTAGAAGCACCAAGAATGGGGATAATATCACAAGAAAGAAAGACCACTTATCAAATACCCCCAACATACTTTTTTGCTCATCCCCGAGCAAGCAAAATAAAACATAGAACAAAGACTAGATGCAAGAATATACACTAAACTCACTTTCGCAAGAATTGTGGTTGTTTTTAACAAAAACAAGCCTTGTAAACCTGTACATCGCTATGGAGGGAAAGTATACACTCACGAGGTTTCCAAAGAGTTTAACGCACAACTCTTGAGTAAGACAACCAAATACAAGAAGTGGTGAAGAAAAAGGATGGAGGGAAAGTATACACTCACGAGGTTTCCAAAGAGTTTAACGCACAACTCTTGAGTAAGACAACCAAATACAAGAAGTGGTGAAGAAAAAGGAAGCAAACAAACATAACATAAAACATTTTTGAACTAATTTAAGAGGTAAGCATAGATGTATGACAATTTTTCTAAGCAATAACAGTAAGCACGTTATCAAATGCTAAAGGTTGATTGAAGGATAAACTATGCTAAGTGTAGAGAACTCGAACAAGCTCCACCACTCCCACATTCCAAACAATCCAACCACGTTTTTTCATCTAGATTCAATTTTGCCCTTCAATGTAACTTCTTGTGACTCCATGAAAGAGCTGGAACAAAGATAGGAAATTAGGAGTAAGAGGAACCCAACATCTTACCGAGACATGCTTATTCCATATGCTTGAAATCTAGTTCCCTGCACCGACTATTTTCTCAACCAATATAAGGACTAAAGGACTTTATTGGGTTGAAACGTAGGCTAAGGAGAAAAAGGTGTAGAAAAATTTAGCATAGCCTAATTGTGAAGCAAAGGCCGATCAACCCTCAAATTCAGCATCAAACTTTCTACCAACTTTCAAAATTCAAACAATAATAACAAAAACAACAAAAACTCCCTCTTATTTGCCGAAAGATACTTTTGATACTTTTCCTTTTTCCACGCACTTTCTCATTTTTTTTTTCTTCTTTTTCCTTCTTTCTCATTTTTTTTTTATTGAATTTTCCTCGTTAACTTTGGACAACTTTTTCTTTCTTGTGCACTTTGATTGAATTCATAATCTCAATCTTGATTTCCATTCAATTCCTCTTTTATGACCGAATAAATTAGCAACACAAACCTTTATGCCCGAATAAATTTACTAAAACTAAGGGTGAAAGTAAAACAAATTACTACCATTAGGGGTTTGAACCATTAAAACTCACATTAGGATCAATTACTATCCCTAGGGCTTCATCTTACCACAAACCCGTAAATTTAGGACAATGGGCCCTTACGAGTTCGGGACACAAATTACCTTTGCATAGCCATATCTTAGAGTCGACCAACGACATTCCAAGAGCGTGCAAACTCTTAATTCTTAGGAAGAAAGGTATTCAAACATATATTTTTCTATGTTCAATGCAAATATGAAACATAACAATATTTACAAGGTTTTGCTTAAAAGGAAATTTTAGCATTTTCAATTTTTTTCCCATTCATATTTTCTTTATATATTAAAGATGTATCAAGCAAATGCAAGCAAGCAACTAAACTTTAAAAGCAAAGAATTATGGAAGTTGTAGTGCATGAATCATGTAACGTCAATTAATCCTCAATTTAAAAATAAGATCATGACAACATAGCCAATGATCAACCACTAATCTCAAATAGAATTTGTAATCAACATTAAACCATTTAACTTCCCTCAAGTATCCGAGAACTAACAACCACAAGAATTATTAAAGGAGTTAAGGTGGAACGATCTCACCAAATGTGCTTCGTAATAAAATTCCATCAATGCTTTTGCTTCTTTGAGTTTCAATTTGACTCCAATGGAATTTTCTCATTGCACAAAAGAATAGAGAACAACAAAACTCCAAACATAAGCGGTTAGTTACTAAAATATTTTTTTTTTAAAAAAACCACACTAGGAAAGACTACTAATAAAAGGGACTCAAAGAGCCTTACACTACTCTAAAAGAAAAATATAGCTACGAAACCAACCAAAACAAAGCTAATAAAAACTATTTGGATTTAATGGGTTTGGATTTTGAAAATTGAGAGAAAAGATAGAGAACATTTATCAAAATGCGTTTTCAAAAAAAAGAAACATTCATCAAAATGCAAGTCTTTGATTAAAAAAAAATTTCATTGATTGAAATGGGAGAGAGAGCAAAAACACCAACAAGCTTAGCAAGTATGCCCGCATGGGAAAAGTCTTCCCAAAAAGGTCCCCAATCACCCCAACAAAACAAGCCTTTAGATAAAAACATTACAAAAACACCCCATAGCTCGTGAAAGATTTTCTTTTCCACAATTTTGTTCAGAGATTGGTAAATTTTATCCTTAATCTCAGCACATAATCAGTAGTTTGTATTTTCTGGCTCTCATATGGTTTGTGTACTCCAAGTTTGTTGGTGAGCTACGGGAGCATATCTTGTCTTAGTCATAAATATTTATGTTTTTGCTCTTGTTGATGGTGGTTGCCCTTTTTGCTAAGTAATGCTTTATATCTTAAAAATTTAACAGTAAGTGTTCTTAGAATTACTACGTAAGAAATATCCTTATTAGGGGAATTGGTTTTGCACTTCCTTGAATCCGTATCCCACCATATAATTAGTTCTGATGTTTGGCTTTCCTGTATTAGTTGTAAAAGTTAGACTGATCACTTACCTTTTATGGTTTGTACAGCTTGTTAAGGACTATCAAGCATGGGCTTCAGGGGATACCTCAAGGCAACCTCTTGGAACTGGTCAAATTTAACTCTGGAAGTCATAATACTCTTGTTCATCCAACTCCTACCCAGTGGAATACGATCTTTTTCTAATGTCTGATAACTTCTTCTAGACAATGGAGGAAGAACATAAAGATGTCGGGAAATTGCGTGGAGTATAGTTTTAGTAAAAATTAGTAATAACAAATTAAGAGTTAAATCTCGTACACGTGTATATTGTTGAAAGTGTCAGAACTCTGGAGTAAAAGCCCTGTTATGTTGTATTTATTCTAATGATACACTATAACAGTCATTTTGCTTTGGCATTCAAGAGACAATGTAGGTGGGCATGATAAATTGTTGTTGATTTAGTGATTTGAGATGAAATTCGCATTCTATTACCTGGAACTGCTTGGCCTAGTGCAATGCGCCTTTAATCATGTGATTGTAACCTTCTTGATTGTTTGCATTGTGGTGCATCTATTGGGTAGGACTTCAATCGTGATTGGCAAGCTTGCAATTCAATCTATGCAGCGCATGCTCATTGATAAACAGTTATAAGACCAGATTAAAACAAGAAGATAATATAAAAGAGCACCCGTAACCTCAAAAAATTATTTGAAAACCTGATCCACAATTTCCTACTCTCTATACTTAATCTCTCTTGTACTCTATACAAAGTAAATCATTATTCACCGTTCTTTGTAATATATAGATTCTAGGATCGTTATAGGGCCTGTTTACATTTACTGAACTGAACTGATTGAAGCTGAACTGAACTAAATAGAGGTGAAATGAATAGTTTATGAGAAGAAAATTAGGAGCTGAACTGAACTGATTAGAGCTGAATTGAATTGAAATTAAGCTGAAGTGAACAGGCTCATAGTCTAGGGTAGGGTCATTCTTAACACTATGGCTCCGTTTGTATAGACGGAAACAATTTTAGCCTTTTAGGAAATAAGTTTCCCATTTTCTAATGTTTGGTTTATGAAGGATGGAAATAATTTTCTCAACGGTGGAACATAATTTCCGAAGTGTAGAAAATATTTTCCTCAATAATGAAAGGAATACCACATTTTCCTTTCTATTCTTAACATCCCCTTTCCTCTCCTCCCATCCATATCTCCCCCTTTCACTCTTGATTTCCTGTACCTCTATAATTTTTCTTAAGGAAAACAATAACGAAAACTACTTTGCCGTAATATGTTTTCAGTCGTAACAAACAAAACCTACATGCACCTACAGCTGAAAATATGAGTTCACAAGCACGAACCAAAAAATGGAGATCTGTCAAGAGTAAACAACTCAGGTCCCAAACAAATGGCTAACTGTAATGGATAAAATCTCATTAAACCTTCAAATTCAGGTGATCCACCATTTGCAATAGAGGGGTAAAGAAACAGATGGAATCAAATAAATATTTCTTTCATTCATTCATTCATTTCTCATTGTTTTAAGATTACAACGGCAAACTTTGCTCCTAATTAATCCTGTCCCTACCCGAATACTAAGCAAAATGAACACCATGAAGCGGTAACCAACAGCCATTAAAAAAAGCACCAACAAATTATTCCATTTAGCGTTGATGTTGGAGGAGATATTATACGCACTGCTAACCGCCTGATATCCTGATATAGCCCTGACTTCTCCTACCGCAAAATTTGTGCCAACGTATTCATTTTCCAAAAGTCCCTGGAATAAGAAGTATATAACAGGGTCATTCTGCTGTGTAATTAAACTAAGAATTCTATTTCCAAGAAACTACCATAAGAATCAAAGGAATCATCACAGACACACTTTGAGGCAGAGCCATATTGAGGCTCATAGGGTCGACGGCCCCCACTAAAATCAAATATATTTTAACATTCATCTCATACATTTTCGGAAATTTGAGCTTTCTTTCAAATGAATTTAGCCAACTGCCCCCAGTACAATTTTTTAATCTTGTTTTTCCCAATTATATATTTTCCTCCTGCATCCACACTGGATAAACTGACATGTACAGATCAACAAAAAAATAGTAGTCCGTATAATTATAAAGATAATTAAACCCAAGAAAGTCAGGATAATCAATACATCTTACCAACCACATATAGTAAGCAAGCCAAATCAGTTAGCTCACATTGGAAAAACACAAAGGAGAGAAGAAACTTGTACTTGCCTGAATGGAGTACGTGTGAAAGGCAATGTAGGACAAAGGGTAAGTCCATATTGATACAGGCAAATCACTACGGATCCTGAAGTACCCAGCTGAGAGCATCATCATGATCTGAATGCAGAAAGTACTCATTCGGTAAGCATATGACTTGAGCTACTGATCAAACCACAATAGAGCAATTGTTGGCTTATAGCTCAAAAATTCTTATCACAAATTCAATCATAATTTAAACCAAGTCTCATGCAGTAATTTACTTCACGAACCCTATAATACACCCTCAGTTCCAAAACTTGAGGGAAAAAAGTGGGTTTGGGCCCAAGGAGAAGTACTCAGAAGTACAGAGGAAAAGGGGGTAAAAGTAGAATGTTATTTAAGCGGGGACATCTGTTATTTGTATGTTAACCTTGAGCTATAGTGGCTGTAAAAAAATTCTATACATGTATGTTACGATCCAGCATAATATGAATGATTCTAAAGATGAATAATGATTTTGACTAATAAAGCTTAAGAACTGGAAAATGTAAACTGACTTCCAAAGGAAGATGAAGATAAACTTTGCATTAAAATCTGAAAAATAAGAATAGTAGTACAAGCTTTCGAGAGGCTTGTCCTCTCCCTAACCAGCATTCAAGAGGTTGGAGCTCTCCAAAGTATTTATACTACTAAACAATATCCAGCATGACTTCTATTTGACTACCTATTATGCCCCTCCCTTAGGTCAGTTTGTTAAAGTATTATCATATGAAATGTATTGTAATATGTTTCCAGATCATACTATAAATTCATGAGCAAAAAAATATAGACTATACATCACTTGAACCACCATGCCAGCAGAATTTTTTCTAAAAATTTGTCATTCCATGTTTGGAATACTTCCACTGGTAACTGTCATAGGCATGTGTTCATGTTTAAATGTAAGATCTAATCGCTTGGATTACGCAAGTTGTATTCAAGAAGCTAGCTATAGAGAAAGCTAATTACAAGGGGGTTAGTTTGTATAGACTACCATGAAAAATTGATTTTAAAAAATCACACACAACAGTAGTGAATAAACTATCCACCACAAGGGCAACTATCAAAGCGCACCCTGCCCACAGTTACTCCTGGAAAACTTGAGATAAAGCATAATTAATAGATGAGAAACCAATAGGAATACTGCAGTGGAGAAAAGTTCAGATGTAATGGGCAGTACACAGGCAATTCATCAGAAAAGGGATCAGCAAAGACTCACATGTACAAGCACTAGTGTCAAAATGCTCCAGAAAACATCTAGCTGGAAGGCCGCAACAGTAAGCAGTAATCCCTCATTGACCAGAAGGCACATAAAGTAATTCAATACGAAGTACATCAACAAGCTGAATTCATCTCGTAATCCAATCAAGAAATAGAAAGCAAGACTTGATGAAATAGAAATCAGGAACAGGAAAGGTATGCTAGATAAGAGTTGTCCAATAAGGAAAACAAAAGCTCCAGAATGCTTATTTGATTCTTCACAGCTATATGTCTGCACAGCAAACACACTTGGATTAAAATTATAACCAAAGGATGGAACTTCAAACCAGAATACTTTCACCCTGAAGACTAAGAAGAATATGGCATGACTGGAAAGATTAAAAAGAACAATTGGATGGTGAGTTAGAAAGCTGAAAGATTGATAAATTTTGAATCTTAATCCTTACAAAGGGTGGGAGTCCTAACCTTTATTTCTTTCATGTGTGCTCGCATCCCAGCAATGCTTAGAAGAGATGTAAATGATACAAATACAAATATAGCGGCAACTCGAGCCTGTAGATCAAAACAAGGAAAGCAATGGTAAATGAAGAAAAGTTTAAGGGGGAAAAAATCTTTCAAGAAAAACAACTTTAAGCCTAGGAATGAGAGCATGTGTACAAACAGTTCAGAAGGACCAAACTAATACAAAAACAAGCTTGTGCTATATGAGCATTTAATAGCTTTAGATTTATTTTTATTTTAAGCAACACCAAAACCCCATAACAAAGGTTAAAATCAAATGGATTTTGCAAAAGGTTCCCAACCAAAGAGAATAATGCAGAAAAAACGAATGAATATGGTTGCCAATCACGATACAACATCAAGTCAGAGAAGATTCAAAACTCCCATATCCACTCATTTGGTTGCATCATGTCTCCATTGTATCTGGTGCTTCAAAAACAAATCAAATGAAAAACTTCAATTGAATAATTACTTTTAATGATCTTTCCTTAAACACCAAATTTGCAAATGGACTAAAGTTGTTGACTGAAAATCATCGCTTTGCCGCTGCATCATTTGTGCCTCAGTTGTTACAAATCTAACAATCAACAACTAGGACATCGGGGGTGGGGTGGTGACAAAAATTCTCAGCAGTAATACATTAGTGTTGAATGTTATCTGTGATTCAAAATTCCAGGGTTATAAAGGTTATGAATACAAGAGAAACAAATTGGATCAGAAACGCCTACTAAAGTTATGGCAGGGGTGGGGATTGGGAATTAGCTCATATTATCATGAAAAAGTGCACATTTAGAACCAATATAAACCCCCCCCCCCCCCCCACCCCAAAAAAAAAAAAAAAAAAAAAAGAGCAATATGGCAACAAATGTAAAGCACGTCAACACCAGAATTTAGAAATTTGTAGCAACTTACCACAACAGAAGACAAAGAATGCCCCAAGCCTGAAAACACAGTACCAATACAGAGAGCCAAAAGCATATTGAGAACCAAGCGAAGCCAGTAATATTTCCATTCTCTGGACATGATTAGTAATGATCTCCAGGTCAAAACAGCAATCCGGGTAGCCCAGCCTGCCCTTCCTTTGCTTTTGAGAAGAGGACCTTCCTGAAGAGAAAAAGTTCACAAAAGGCTGAATAGTGATGCTAGCAGCTCAAATGAAGTTACCCTTCAGATCTTAATAGAGTACACAAGAACACAACTATCTCCAACCGAAATTTAAACTGGATGGAAGACAAAATTACTATACTTGCATTTAAAAAGAATTGACATAAAATTCATTTTGTTTTCTACTTTGTATAACTGTAGAGTCACAGTTCTTCAAGGGAACAGCTCATAACAAATTTTCGTTTAGCGCTCATGAATAGTCACACTAAACAATGAGAAAATTACATGAAATGTGATAGTATCTGTTTTGGTTTAGGAACATAATTAAAATTATCACTGTAAAATATGTATGCCACAAATGAGGCAACGGTTTACGACTGTGTCAGTGTATTAGTGTATATACATATGAAAC